AGGAGAAAGTAGTCAAACATTCAAAGTAGAAATTTTTCAAATTATGAAACTAGTTTATAGTTCTTCTCTTTTTACTTGTAAAATAAACATTTCTAAAATAAATGTATTTTTTTAGTGGCTTTTCCTGCCTATTTCGCTATTTTATTTTGCCTATTCGTTATTTCATTTTGCCTTTTTTATAGGTTTTTAGGTCCTAAAAATCCGTTCCCTGCTTATAAGCAATCTAGACATAATTTTAGATTTCTCCAGCGAAAGCGAAGGCGAATCTGGAGACATTAAAAAATGTGAAATCAAAGCTCAATTGAAGGTCTATCTTAAAGAAAACGATTGGTGGAAAACTAAACTAAAATACGACAAATTGACAGATCCGCAAATATTACTTTTTTTTGAAATATAATATGCCCCTTTTGAGCTTTGACTACTAGATTAAAACACTGTATAGGTTAAACACTCGTTCAATGTTCTAATAATTTACCAAATTTTTAAGTAATAAAAACAATGACTTAAGTTGATTATAGATTTTTTAATGTTATTCGTGAATGTAAAAAATATAACATTCGCGAATGTAAAAAATATAACATTCGAAACATCCCTAGAATATACATATGTATGTATGTGTGCATGTATGCCTGGGTAAATGCCAGATTCAACCACACACTCACCGAAAGCAAATCACACGAGCGGGAAAAAATGCAACAACAAAGGAACGAGCCAGGAAGCAATGCGTCGAGCCTTTACACGCAAAACAAATTACGTAACCAACTGTTGGCCAATTTCCAACATATCCACACATATGTATACACATACAAATTTCAGTTTAAATCCTGAAAAAAGGAAACGATATTCGAGTTCGCTGTTCTCGTTTTCTTATTGTTTGTGTAGAACGAAGGAAGTGAGACAAGAAATGGCACCAGATGACCCCTCGAAAATTGTTTAGCCAAACGGAAGCTTGAAGAAGAAATTGCTGCAAATTTGGTTAAATTTAAGAAACATTTCGAAAATAATGACCCTTTTGGCAATTTGGATTGCGTTGAGAAGAAGTCATAAATTAGGTGTTCACAAGTTTTCGTTTTATTTCACATTGTTAATGACAAAGCTCCGAGTAAAATATTGTATATTAAATCGACAACCAAGGGGAGGAGACGGCCGATAACTTAGCGAGGCATCTGCGTGGCTTCCGTAAATTGCACAGCACTTTAGGACCAAATTCACAGTGCGTAGTTGACTCAGAATCGGCACTACAGATTTTTGTGTTAATTCCAACAAAAAAAACTAAACTAGGCGTCGTAGGCCGCATACGACTATGATCATGTCCGACAATCTTATCCTAAAAATTCCCGAAAAAGGGTCCCATTCTTTTCGGTGCAGTCCTCAAAAGTTGGTCGAATTTCGCAAAAGTTTAAACTTCATAGGATTAAAGACGGCATACTCTCCTCTACTCTGTTAGCCTGAGTAAGGTTCGACTAGCAGTCAGCTGAAGTTACCACCAACGACTAAAAACTTTCGTTGCGAAGAAATAAAATATTGACAAGCTCCAAGGCGAACCTACTGCCGATCTCTCCGGATTTAGGAAATTCTTCACTGTCGAAAATGCTCTGCAACTAAACTTTCTACAGCCTAACGAAAGAGGTCAAGTCAAATCGTGTGGTTCTCGTGTCGCTTGAGCATCCGATTTCATCAGGGGTATATGTAGGTAGAGGGTGACCGCCTATCGCAATGTTTTTGTTGGTGTTGCAGCAATGCTCAACCCCCGGGGTATCATCATCTTCATCCTCTGACTCTACAAGCCTGAGGCGGAGGAGGCGGGCGACGTCAATAGGCGCAGTCCATAATGCTTCCGGTGTCAGGGTCGTAGGGGTTTTCCTATATTGACGGGTACTGGTGGACCCTCTAGGACATGTTGTCCTTACGAGTACTATGGTTTGTTCTGATTAAGATCGCTGACTGCCGCTTTATTTCGCGCTGCGACGAACGGATGGTCTATGTACAACTGGATGTGAGTTCTCGAGTTGTGCAGTTGCCGTCTCGCATGTCGAGAGGTCGCACAGTTTCGAAGCAAAGGGTTTTATTGAACGCCTTCGACCGGTTAACTGCGACTAGGACCATCCTATCACAAGGTCGACGTTGGTATTGACCCTCTGCGCTATTTTTTGGAATGTATGTTGTCGTTCGGCTAATTTTAGGAGCGCTGTCAAGCGGGGGGAAGAGTACTTCCACGGCTTTTGCCACTGGGGATATTAGGGAGATGGGTCTGTTTCCCCTCTCCGCCTTCTTCATGGCTTAAGAAGGGAATGATCGAATCCATTTTCAACATCTGAGTGGTGATCAGGGTGTACAATGACACGTTTAAAGCGGTGGAGATATACTCGACTCCCATTGGGTGGTTGTTACGGATGCAACTCCTCCGCAGTGTAAGCTGTTCAATCCTGCCTCTAGTGTGCAGGGCTAGGTCTGGAGATATTGTGCAGTTTGGGTAGTTTGCTCTATGGCAGTCCAAGGGGAATCGTCTTGACAGAAGCATTTTGCACCCTTTCGAGGGAGGCATGAGCCATGATGAAGTATCGCATTGTCAAGGATATTTGAGCTGAAGCGGGTGTTCTAGCCGATGAGCGTGACAACCTCCGTCAGGCCGATCCCGGAAATCCCTTCATCAGGAATCTCAATGTGGAAATTCGGCAGCTTGTGAACGTATATAAGCGAAAGAACTGGGAAGAGTATCTGAAAACTTGCAACTTCACCTCTGGTGTGAGTAGGCTTTGGTCAACCGTGAGGTCACCAATCCAACAAAACGCGACGACAGAGTAGAAATATCTTTCGGCGACCGCGCCTCGTCCGATTCGGAGCGATGCGCGAGCTGTTTTAGCCAGAAATTTATACTGCATCCTCCGGCGGACAAAGCCAAACGTGGAGTGACCAGAAGGCTGCACAAATTGCCAACAAAAAGTGCGCCTCTTGTTTTCAATTGTAGTGAAGTTCAGGTAGCCATCGGGAAGGCGAAAGCCTCCAAAACCATGGAACCGACGGAAAATGGATGATGCTGAAAAATTTGGGTACCGTGGGAGTAGACCATTTAGCAGAGGTTCTCAACTTGTCAATGGCCACTCTCGTCATTTCAGACATCTGGAAGATGGGAAGAGTGGTCCCAGTGGGGAAACCAGCAACCAAAGGAGAGTCTTATCGCCCGATAACACTCTTTTCCCCGGTAGCGAAGACACTAGAGGCCTTACTCCAGCGAAGCATCAGCGTGGTTTCCGTAAAGTGCACAGCACAACACTGTTTAGAGACAAATTGAGCAAACTTAGAAAAATAAAACAGGGGGTTCCACAGGATGGTGTCCTTATCCTTTACTGTTCAACTATTATATCTCAACGCTCCCTCAACCACCAGAGGGACTATCGATTGTCTCTTACGCTGATGATTGCTTGATAACGGCGTCTGGGAATGGAATTGATGACTTGTGCTCGAAAGTAAACGGTTACCTCTCCGAGCTTTCTCACTTATTCACTGCTAAACCTCTCCCCTACAAAATCCTCTACTACCCTGTTCACCACCTGGACGAAGGAGGTCAGACTGCAGCTGGGAATTCACATGGATGGCATACCAATTCCGATGATGAATAACTCGAAAATACTCGGAGTAACTTTCTACAGTTTGCTCTCCTTCTCTGCGCATACAACCGCAATTGTCAACAAAGTACAGAGTCGCAATAAGGTCCTCAAGTGGCAAAGACAAAGAAGCGTTGCTGGCATCATACAAGGCAATTGGCTGGCCGGGTCTAAACTACGCAGCACCAGTATCGTTGGCGGGGACCTCAAAATACTGCACTCCGGACACCGACCGGATCTCTACTGACGTCGCCAGAATTTCACCTGCATGACGAGGCGCGAATGCTCCCCATAAAGCAGCACAACACTATGCTGTGAAAGCATTTCTTAGTAGAGAGTCACAGCGTTGACAGCCGAACATACACTTGCATGCAGAGGAGCTCTTACCAAGGCATGCCTGAAGGTATCTATACGAACTGACGGACAAAGTCCAAAGGTTCGTAAGCAACAACTGGGGCCGACAACATATCGACAGACCCTGAGTGGCATTCACAGGGAGTCGGTTTCAAGTTACGTAGTCTCCAGACCTGTGAATGCCCTTCTGGGTACTCAACCACCTGACGTGGACGAGACGGAGCTTCGTCTTCCTCGGGAGACTCGGACCAGAATAGCCCAACTTCGCTCTGGCTACTGCAGCAGGTCGAACTCATACCTGACCAGACTAGATGCTAACATGCCCAATGAGTGTCCGGCATGCGGAGAGACACCCCTCCACTCGAAACATCTCTTCGCATGCCCACAAAACCCCACTTAGCTGACGCCTTTGTTTCTATAGACAGAGCGGCTAGCTAATCTGGGCGGAGTTGTTGTAGCCACTACAAACACAACCCCATTGTCAGGATGGAATAAATATGGACGTAAAAATGAACTGCTGCTGCAGCAAAAACAAAAGTGAAAAGTCGTTTATGAAAATCTGTCGAAAAGGTTTGCCACCACGGGAACCACCATAATTTACGCCGCCACACTCTTTGGAGAACTTTTATGCTGTTGCAACAAAAACATCACTATAATGGTTATTAAAAAACCTTTCCATAATGGTAACTATTAAAAAAAAAAGAAAACAATGGTAACTATTAAAAAAATTCACAAATAATTAACCAAAACAAAGTCATATTTATGGTGGAATTATTCCTTGAGTCATCGTTATTTTTTCTCTTAAATTTTTTACGGTGTACGAATGAGGGTTTTAAAAAATTTGACAGAGCTTATTTGACGCGTTCTCTTTGTTGGCATCTTCAAAACAACGATAGAGCTGCCAGCGTCTTCAAAAACTCGAGAAAGTGGGAACAAAACAAAATTTGTGAAAATTATGGCCAGCGGAAACACTATCATGAATCAGCCAACAGCTGCGAAAAAATCTGACAATTCATTGTCTTTCTTTTGTTATACTCGTCAGTGAAGTTAATTGTTTTATAAATTATTAAAATCGTGAAAACATTGGAATTGCATTCATTTCACCTGCGATAAAAGCTATAAGTGTGGCAGCCGCGTAACCAATAATTTAACAATTTAAATTTACAAGCGATCGCACCAAATGAATGTCGATTCCTTCCAGCAGTCGCTAAATCAATCCCTGCAAGCCCTCACATTAAATTTAGAACATTTTGTGGGCGTGGCAGTGCAAACAGTGGCATTACTACAACGGGAATTAGCAGAGACAACGAGAAATTGGAGTAGTCCCATTGAATTTTCGCCACTACAGTTGACGCTTCTGAAAGTGCTGCTGTCGCTATTGCTGGGTACTACAGGACTCATTGCGTACTCTTGGCGTGTTTATGGCAAAGTGATTACAGAAAAATTCGTACGACCAAGTAAGTACGCATTATTATTCCTACCTTTTACGTGCGAGAAAGATGTTTCCTTCTAATCTCGGAAACATATTCTGCAGGCACACTTAAGGAAATCGAAGAGCTCAAGCTATCCGTCGCTAAACTAAAGTTGCCTAAAGAACATTCACCTCGGATTTAGAGCAGCTGCTGACTTAGAAGTAACAGAAATGTCTAAAATCAAAAAATTCTTTTCACGCAAAAAAGAGGAAGCCGCATTTAAGGTGAGCCATTTTTTAATTAATACATATTTCTAGAGAAACGTGGGTACAACAGTAGCGCTTCCGAACATACAGCATGCGCATTTTCATTCCTTATACCGCATGTTTTACTGATCTGTTTTGCCACAAGCAATTGTATAAAAAAATGTAAAATATGTACATGTAAATCTGTATTTCAAAGCTCAAAATTGGTGGCGGTATGGGACAAGGCCGCGCCTTGAACGCAGCTGCACCACCTCCCAATACTTCAAGCTCTAAATCCGGTAGCACTTACGAGCCGCCAAAACGACAGGAACTTACCTCTGAAGCTCGTGCAGCAGCTGCTGCCGCTTTGGCTCGATTTGAAAAGAAAGAATCGAAAGATTTTAACACCTCATTGGCAGCTATTAAGGCGCAGGCTAAGCGAGAATTAGAAGCAGAACAAAAATTAAGAGCAGAAGATCAGAGTTTGTCGTCAGGCGCGTCTGGCACAACGACAACCAAAACCAGAAATCTAGCTTGTGAGGGGGTATTCTTTCGGTGTCCTTTGATTGGAGAAGAAATCTTGCCACGAAAGGAATGGAAAGCAAAAATTAAAGAGTTTCTGTATCAACAATTGGAGTTTGAACGCGCATTGACTGCTTGTCTGATAATTTGTAATTGCAATACACGTGAAAAGGTAGGAATGACTTTATTTTGCCGTTTCATTTTTCCTAATTGGCGAATATAATGCTCGTACATTTATATTTTATAGGCTGATGATTGCATTCAGACGCTTTCGAAATATCTTGAAAACATACATAACCATCCCGATGAAGAGAAGTACTATAAGATAAGAATGTCTAATAAGTACGTGTTTTTATGCGCCTCAAATTATACATATATATTATCCCACTTACTTAATATTATTTTCAGAATATTTAGCGAGAAAGTGCGATATGTGGAAGGAGCTTTAGATTTCTTGATGGCAGCTGGTTTTCGTGAAATTGAAATAGATGGGGAACCCTTTTTACTTTGGTCTAAGGAAAATGTTGAAAATAATTATGACTTGCCAACGTTGCTAGATGCGTTAAAAAATTCTGAAACTATAGAATTAGAATTGGATAGAAATATTAGAGTGCTTATGCCATCTCAGGCACGAAGTGCTGAATTGCCGGATGATTTCTACCGCATCTCACCAGAGGAAATCAAGCGTGAACAGCAGCTACGTACCGAAGCTATTGAAAGTGCGCAAATATTGCGAACAAAGGCGATGCGCGAGCGCGAAGAGCAACGCAATTTGCGTTTATATCGTTTCGCATTGATACGTGTTAAATTCCCAAATGGTATTTATATACAGGTAAGAGAGCGTTGGCAAGCTTTTACAAATGCACGGATTTAAGTTATATGTACATTGAATTTTTCTTGCAGGGCACCTTTAATGTTTACGAAAAAATTAGAGACGTTTATGAATTTGTTCAGTCTTGTTTAATCGATGAAAATCTAGAGTTTAATTTAGTTGTTACTAATGGCATCAAATTCACCGAAGAAGACATGGAAAAGACTTTATATGACTTGCGGTAGGGTTAAAATTTAATAAGTCTTTTCTCAAATAACTATGTTACTTATTTTCAGACTCATTCCAAACATTGTGTTGCTATTTACTATTCCTGGCGCAGCTATCTCTGGTGCTGATGATATAAATTTTCTCAAGGAAGAAATGCTAATGCTAGTGCAGAAGATAT